TGTGAACACTGTCTGCAGTTCAGTCGAATATTCTCCAAAAATCTGTAATGTATGTAATCCAGGGTGTGGAGTTTAGTTTGTTATTAAAAAGCTGCAGCGGGATCCACATAAGAGAGTTAATTAACTAATTAATGATCCCCGACATGGAGGCGGGATGGATCAGGACCTAACATCAGCTCACACTTTGTGCTTTTCTTCTCCTCAGATAGGTTTACTGTCGGTAAAGTCTTATTATCATCGCATGAGGACAGAGTTTTCACTTTTCAGGAAATCCTAAATAAACCAGGCTGTTATTAATTTAGATTATTCGTGCATCACACTTTGCACTGTCACCTTAACAGACTGACGAAGCAGTAAAAGGCTCATTAAAAGGATACTGACGACATACATCCCTCCTCCGCTCTCACCGGCCTTCCCCACAAACTCCATCTTCAAATGACAAGAAGTTAAACAGTAAACAATTCTGTGTGGATACAAAGAGCATTAAATGTGCCGGGAGCGGGTTGTACCGGGTCATCCACCAGCAGAGTCAGGTACTGGTCCAGGATGGGTCTGGGGATGTTGTAGCTGGCCGGCAGGGATCTGAAGATCTCATTGGCCGACAGCGGCTTGGTGCAGGTGGCTGCAGGCGCCGTGGTGACCTCGCTCATCCTCAGCATGGTCCTCACGATCTCACTGCTGGTCTGTGGCGTTGTACGGAGAATTTAAACAACCAACAGAAGCACAAACTATCATGACACCGGTTGTTATGAGAGTCGAAAGGCAGGAAGAGTCACGTATATTGCTTAATCTTGCTTTAACGAGAAACTAAAACTAGATTCTCCTCATTAGTCGACGAGCAAACGTTGAGCTAGATCCCTCAGAAATGGTTAAACATTTTGGAAAATGTGCTTATGCAAGTTAAAAGTTAGCTTAGCAATCGCAAACAGCTGCGATTAAACCCTAAATTATCCATCCTCATGCTAAAATTTGATTTATATTGAATTTGTATTTGATCAACAGGTTTCTTGTGTCTGGAAATGACATGTAGAATAAAGCAGATTTGATGAAATATCACGATTTTACGCTTAAATTTGGTTAATTTTCCCAACAGAACCAAGCAACACATAAATAGTTCAATAAACACTGGAAACCTGATGCTGTGTTCTGTTTTCTGGCTGATAAATGGTGTAATCTTTTAAAGCTGACAGCAGGTTTTGGGGTTCAGAGGTTTAACTAATACGTCCTCAGTGTCTGTGAGTGTGAACCGGACCTGGTCCAGCTTGTTGGCGACGGCGCTGATGATGGCCTGGTCTCTGAAGTGGAGGTGGAACCGCTCAAAGTTCACCTGCCAGTAAATCCCCTCGTCGCCATGGGCCTGAACAAAAGAGAGACACAGAAAGAAAGTCACAGGAATAAAAATGTGTTAATTAATAGACCAGGCAGTTTTTTTTTCTAAATGTATTTTATAAGGAATCAGTAAAATATAAATAAATACTACTCAGATCAAATAAATATTAATAAATTAAACATAAATTGATTGGGTTTTTTTTATTATTATTATTATTATTTTACTCATGTCCAACAAAATAAAATAATTTTGAAAAATGTACTTTTAGTTTTTGCTGAGTCCCACTAAAATCCCTTAATTTAAAAATATACCATGCAAATGTTTAAATCAATTTATTTGACCAGGTATCAGGAAAAAACAAAGATAAAAGACATTAATAAATACTAAGAATTTAAACATAAATTGATTTTTTAGAAATATGTTTGTTTGCTGTTGTTTTTTTACTGATTTCCAATAAAACAAAAAAAAGTTTAAAATATATTTTTACTTTATACTGAGTCCAACTAAAATTTCTTAATTTAATTTAATTTAATTGATTTAAAAATATACCAGGCAAATTTTTAAACACATTTATTTTTTATCAGGAATCAGCAATAAAATAAAATAAAATAAAATGACAAAATAAAAGGAATGCAGAAACACTTAGAAATTCAACATAAAGTATTTTCTTAAATCAGCTTTTTTGGAGAAAAATAAAAATCCCAACAAAATAAATTATTTTAGAAAAGTATTTTTAGTTTTTACTGATCACCTATAACATCCTTAATGTAATTAAACTTATTTAAAAATATGTCATGCACATTTTTAAATTAATGTATTTTATCAGAAATCATTAAAAAAAAAAAGATACACAAATAAAACAAATAGATAAATACTAATAAATTCAGCATCAATTTTTTATTTATTTTTAGAATCTCCTTTTTGGGGGGTTTTATTAACTGATTCCCAATAAAGTCAATGAACTCAAAACGTGCTTTTTTTGGCTTCATCACTCGTCATTATGTCCGTTGTGTCTTTAGCAGTTATAACAAATAAAGTAATCCTTATCTTCTAAGGCCCTGACCTCTGAGTCCATTTTGGCTCTTTTGGCGTTCCTCTGGTCCTCCCCGTCCTCGGTGGCGAGCTGCCGCTTGCCTCGACCGATGAGGGTCACATGAGGCACCTTGTAGCAGTCGGGGAAGCTCTCCGGTGTGGGCGGCGCGGCGCTGGCCGGGGCGGCTGGAGCACCGGGGGCGGCAGGAGTCTGAGCTGGGGCGGCCTTGTCGGCGGCTCCTGCTGCGGCCGGCGGGGGGCAGCGCTGGAGGAAGTGCGTCTCCACCAGTTTGGAAAAGGTCGAAGACACCTCGCTGTAGTCCATGCTGCGGCCCTCTGCAGCAACAGCAGCACATGACACAGTGGACACAAGTTCAGTTAAAAAATAAATAAAAGTGTGTTTGCTCTGATCAGATTCTATGAAAAACTAAAACTTTGGTAAGGAATCGATTACTCGCTAGCTATTAAATTAATTGCAACATATTCGATTAATAATAAACTGGTTTATTAATTTTTCTAATAACATTTTTAGTACTTTTTAAATTAAAAAACAGTCTTTGTTTGCAGCTTCTTAAATGTGAATATCTATCAACGATGTGAATTTCTCCACTGTGAGATAAATAAAGGCATATCTTATCTTATCTTATCTTATCTTATCTTCTCGTGTCAACTGAATATCTTTAAACAAAATAAAACATTTGAGGAAACACTGATCCACATTTTTCACCATTTTAGGAAACAAACAACTAATTGATTGACAAAAGACGTTATCATTGATTATGGCCTCAGTTTTCAATAAATCTTCATATTTCCTTTCATTTACCTCACGGCGATATCAACAGTACTTTTTTTTTGTAAATATTCCACTACAAACATGATCAAATAAACCTCATTTTTATATTTACTTATGTTATTTGTTATTTTTTTTACTATTCCCTGACATTTAATAGACCAAACGAGTGACTGATTCATCGGTTTGACTAATTCTTGAAGGAAAAAAAAAATCAAAATTTCTTGATTTCAGCTTCTTAACTGTGAATATTTTCTGGTTTCTTTCCTTTTCTATGACAGAAAACTGAAAATCTTTGGACAAAACAAGACATTGAATGTGGGATTTTTTGGGGAATATAGTTTAGTCTTGAAATTAAAAGTGAGAGTGATAAAATGTAAGATATAACTCTTATCCTGGCAGACTTCTACAGTCCTGAGGGTGATCTGAACAAGAGCTGCAATGATGAACTGATTAGTTGTCAGCTACTAAATCCGCCTCCAGCTCCGCTGATAATCGCTTTCAGCACCTCTTTGAAAACTTTCTGGTTTCTTTCCTCCACTATTATAGTACTTTTTAACCATTTTCTGACATTTTGTAGCTCAAACGAATAATCTAGAAAATAATCACTAGACTGATCAAGATGGAAGCCATCCTTAGTTGAAACTCTGATTCTGTGGTGGCGCCACTGACCCTCCATGTTCTGCGTGAGCCGATCGGCGACCGTCTTCACCGAGCCGCTCATCGTCATGTGTCCCCTCTGCAGCAGCTCCTCTATGATCAGCTCTCCGGTGTCTCCGTACAACGTCTTGGCGGTGTAGATGTACCGTGGGTATCGTAGGATCCTCAGGATCCGCTCGGAGCTGCTGCGGTACTCAGTCGGGCTGCCGGGTCCTTTACGGCCGGAGCTGAACAAACAGGCGCCGTGCTGGACGAGTACCATCAGGGACTTCTTCACCTGGTCAAGACAGAAAAGGAAGGACAGGAAGAGGCTCATGGCTTGATTTACAGAAACAAAAATCACATTGTAATCATAAAACTGTTGTTGCACTGTTATTATTGCTCTAAAATCCTAGAAAACGTCTTCTTTGCACGACTATAATACAACAAACAAAACAACAAAATGTAGTGGTGCTATGTGACTGATTTTATTAGTAGTGCTCCACTTGAGAATTACGACAGTGTGAACGTTATGTTTTAATATTAAATCATGCAATGGCAATAAATCATGTCTCTGCAGCAAAAGCAGCTTAATCTGGTTTTAAACATAAAAATTAAAGTCCTTAGATAGATATTAAGATTAAAAATTGAAAACTGGGTTTTAAATTAATTAATTTCAATCAAAAAATCTGTAAAAGAAGAAGAAGAAAAAAGGCGGAAAAAAGGGTAAAATAATTTAATAATTTAAATAGAATGTTTTTTTAATTCTGTATTTTTCTGATTTTAAAAAAAATTTATTTAAAATGTGTAACATTTTAAATTAGTTTATTTTCAATTATTAATTTATTGTCAATTTATTTATTTCAAGGTTATTGAGAATTAATTTTTAAAAAAAGAATATAGATATAATAAATACTAATAAATTAAATAGAAATCAGTTTCAATCTTTTTTTTCTTTTTTTTTACTGGTTCCGGATAAAATTTAAATAAATCAAAGATGTGACGCTTTGCAGATATGTGCAGCAGAATTCTGACATCGTTCAAGTTCAGGGCATCTTTAATTCCACTCAGTTCAACATGTCAAAATTGATCTATTTAGATGAGACTTTTTTAGTTTCTTAAATTAAGTTTGAACGGGTCAGAATTAGTTTTTTGTAGAATCTCAAACTGGACTTCTGCCTGGTCAAAACGTAAATACATATTTGTTGAATTGCAGTGTTGCTTTGCAGAAACCTGTAGTTGCATCAGAAGCTTCAGCTTTTCAAAGCGCATATAGCAACCAGTTTATTCTGACTAAATTGAACGACAGAGATCTGTAGCTGTGGTTCTGATGGGCCAGAAATCAGGCTAGAACCCTCATTAGTCCAAAAGACGTTGTTGATATCTGTCATTTTAATCCCAGAGAGTTAAACTCTGCTGCTAAACGTTAAAACAACTCGCTGTAAAGTGTGTCGATGATGAACATCCACAGAACCACGGTGAGTGCAGGAGTCCTACCAGGTCCACAGAGAGGCCGGTTTCATGAATGATGGTTCTTAGGTTCTGTGCTCCACTTCTGAGCAGGTGTGTTCCCACTTTCTCCACCACCTCGCCGAAGTGTTCGCGCAGCAGAAGACCGCAGATACGAACCTCCTGGGAAGTCATCTGCACAAACAAACAGGAGAACACACAGGGGATGAAACATCCAAAGTCCAGGCTCGCTTTGAGTTTTAGAACAACAATAAGCTCCTCTGTCAGTGTGTTGTTTATGAACAGTAGCCAGATTATAGGTACTGGATGATCTCTTCAGAACACCTGGATTTTCAAACAGTCAAATTAACAGCCATGTCTGCTGTTTGGTACAAAACTTCCAGATAAAACTTTGCTAAAGAACACGAACAGAGGCCTGATGGATGTTGGAGAACATTCTCTGGTCAGATGGAGATCAACTTGTTGGACTCAGATGGAGTCCAGATGTTTGGTGTGAACCTGACCAGGACCACCACAGTGGATGCATCGTCCTGACAGTGAAGCACGGAGGTGGCAGCATCATGATGTGGGGCTGCATGAGGGCAGAAGGTGTTGATGACATGTAGAGATGCCCCATGAATGTGTGAGGAGAAAATAAATTACTGGCTGACAAGATGGAGCTTGAAGAAGAGGAATATTCCAGCAGGAGAACATTACTTTTCTTCAAGCTTCATCCAAAAATTAAATTACATGAGAGTTTCTGCAGTGGAACAAATGGAAAACAACGACATATGTGGCCTGATTTGAATCCAACAGAACATCTTTGTGGTGTTATAAAGAGAAGGCTTGAGTGTGTCATCAAAAATAAATGTGGACATTTATTGAACTCTTCAAAAACTATAACAATAACAAGAATACTGACTTTAATGCATTGACTTCTTCTTGTATTTTAATACAGTAAACCTGATCTGCTTCATTTGACATCAGAGCAAACACCTCCTGTTTAATTCACAAATAATCTGATTACTGTGAGGTGATGCAGTTCACAGTTGTTTGACATTAAATGTTATTGCGCAGTTCAGCCGCACACTTTAAGCCACTGAGCTGATTGTAGCTGCCGGCTAGCGTTAGCATACAAGCTAACTGAACACCATAAAGTCCACACTGAATATTTCGCACAAACCTTTCCGACTGATTAGCTCCAGGACAGCTCTCAGCTTTTAATCATCCCTCAGAGCGAAGAACCGTCCACATGTGGAGGTTCCTGGATGTCAACACACGTCCACTTCCTCCCGTTCGGCTCCGCTCGCCGGGATTCGGCGGCGCGGCCGCGGTGCATGCCGGGCAGGAGGCGGAGGCTGCCTCGGCTCTGTGGAGGACCGACGTCAGTGCTGCTCCTGGGGAAGATGGCGGAGGCTGCGGCTGTTCCCCCGCATCGGTTCTTCTGCCACTGCTGTAAGGGAGAAGTGAACCCCAAGCTCCCGGTGAGTCAGGCGGCTTTTCCGTTCCCGTTTCTCGCCCCGCCGCCATTTCCGTGCGGCTGACATGTCGGCCTTCCCGCGGATCGCCGTTCGTTTCGCTACGGCTAAAGCCCCTAGCTAGCCTGTTAGCCGTTAGCACCGTTTGTTGTTGTTAACTCTCCGGATAACTCGGGTTAAATATCCGCTGTAATTAAAAATAATAATAAAAAAACAGACGTTAAAGGGGAAAACGTCGACAGGTTTTGTTGCTCTGGACGGGTTTTAGTAGAACCACTGTGCTGTGAAGCTTTGACAGTTGTTGTGTTTACCTACTAAACAACAGAAACACTACATTTGTGTTTGATTTAATGTCCCAGATTTACCTACAGTGAGCTGACAGGAGGACAGTTTTGTGTTTTGTTTTATTTTGTTTTTTTGCACCGTTGACAAGTTGGAGAACCTTCAGGAACATTGTCAAGGTTTAGGTTTACTTTCAGTTTCAAATTTAAAAGTGACAATACTGTCCCACGTCGACTTCTATCAACCTTCATGTTGCTTTAAACTTATTTTTTACCCCCTAAAACAGTTCCCATGTGCACTATGATGACAGTTCAGGGGTTTTATAAGAACCTTGCAGCAAATCCAAGCTCCATTTTATTACACAGCTGCAGCAGTTAATGGATTAGCTGTCAACTTTTAGGTAATGTCAGCTTTATTTTGATAATTAATTAATCAATCAATTTAGACTATTTGTTGTATTTAAGCTTTAAATGCAGCTTCTTAAATGTGTTTTTTTCTTCCTGTATGACAGCAAACATAACACCTTTTAGATTGTGGACAAGACAAGACATTTGCTTTCGTCTGACAGTTTCCAGAGAAAACAATTTGTCTACCTTTTTTTTAAATTCATTCAGTGCTTCTTACTAAACCGGTCGGAGGCCATTTTTTGTTTTTGCCTTCTGATAAAATTCCCCACTGGCCGGAAGACTTGGGGAATTCTGGAAACGCGTGGTTTAGTTTCAATTTTAAAATTAAAAGTGAGAAAGGAAAAAGCAGACGTCTGGAAGCAAACGTGACTTAGAGCATGACAGACACTTAAACACCTTAACTAGACCCAGGACTATAAATTAATTAGTTATCAGCTGCTAAATTAATCGCCAGCTCTGCTGACAATCGATTATTTGGCTTGAGGTATTCTTTCAAGGGGGAAAAAAGCGTTTAAATTCACTGATTGCAGCTTCTTAAATGTGAATGTTTTCGTTTTTCCCCCCTTTTTTTACGACATCTGAATATCTTTAGGTTGTGGACTAAATCACATATTTGTAATCTTGGACTTTGGGAAACCTGATCGACATTTTATACCATTTTCTGACATTTTAAAGGCCAAACAGCTAATCAGTTAATGGGGGGGGTGATTGACAGATTAATCAAGGATTTTATAAATTATCAAGAGTGTATTGAACTGTGTGGTTGCTTTGGAAGCCTTAATCGACGCCACCGTTTAATTTTATGATGTTATATTGGATGAACTCGTCAATTATTCAATTACCTGGTTGTCGGAAATAGTTTCAGCTGTACTTTTTGTTGTTAATTTTTAATTTTGGTGTGTTTTACAGCTAAAATGTCACACTTTCCCAGCTATCTCATGTGATATTTGGCTCTCAGTCAGGCGAAACAAGCAGTTTGAAGTCGTCATTTTGTATTTTAGGAAACTGCAAAAAGCATATTTGATTTTTTTATGATATCAACCAAATGTCAAACCCACATTTTTTTCATTGCTGGGCTCTTCGGCTACCAGATACAGCCGCACAAATATTCATAACAAACTGGCAGGCGAGCGTATATCGCACCACGTCGCCAACTCGGTCCAGCAGACCGTCTTATCATCAGCTGAGTCTTTATTTTTACATTTGAGGGTACTTCCCGGCCGCCCCTGTCACCGATTCTAAACTGGCTGGCTTTGCTCAGACACACTCAGTCCTTTGGCATGTCTTCGCCGAGCCAGCAACTGACTGCAACACCCCAGATTATCACCCCGCGCTACGACAGCAGCGCCTCGGGACCACGTCTCGCTCGTGTCGGATCAGAAAACCTGTGAGCTAATGACACACGGCTGAGCTGTTTTTTGCTTACTGCGGGTTTTTTTTATTTTTTTTTTACCCAGTCTGACCTTGAAATTGGTTTTACATCCTTAAATTCTTACCAACCAAGCCAATGAGCATTAATTTATGTTCTGTTTTTTAGGAAGCGCTCTCCAGACAGAATAGGATATAAGATAAAAAGCAGATATTTTGGTGACCTACTTTCTCATTAGCATATGTTATGTAACGCATGTATCGCTCTAATCTCCCACAACCCTGTCCGTATATTAAATGACCCCACTTCAATCCTGTTTTCACGGCTGAGAGGCACCGACTTTCAGGTCAACGTATGAATCCAGCTGCTGAACTGGCACTTTTCCTTTTTTCTGTTGCACTGTTGCACTGTTGTTTTGTTTTGTTTTTCCTGAGACTTTAGGTGTGGTTGGCAGACCAGCTCTACCTCCTCGGTCGCATTCATAAAAACACTAGTCGTCATTCAGATATGACCGATATTATCCGCTCGTGCTCTTTTGTAAACTAAACCAGTCCGTGAGTGTCTTTACGGTTCTCCTGTAGGGCCCAGCAGTAGATGATATAACACTACGTTATCATTTCCTCATACTTCACATTATGGGAAATACAGTTTATGGGTATAACCTGTAAAAATCCAAACTGATGTTAACTGTAATGGACTTTTAACACGTGTAAAACCTCATCTGTGCCCTTTTGTGTGTGTGTGTGTTCTTTTAGCCACATTAGGTGTCTCATTTTTCAAGTCCAGCACCTCTGTGGAAACAGAACAACCACGTTTAGAAGGAGAGAGATGCCCTGAATGTGTTCTGTGTTGTGTGACACAGTTGGAATGACAGAAAAGGTGTTAAAAAATTGTAAAAAATTCAAAACAACATGGAATCAACACATTTTTCTAAATACACGCAGGCGTAAACATTACTGGGGGGG